GCTCGGAGCCTGGAGCCTGCTTCGGATTCTGTGTCTCCCTCTCTCTCTGCCCCTCCCCTGCTCACGCTCTTTCTCTCTGTCTCTCAAAAATAAACATTCAAAAAAAATTTTTTTTAAAAGATGAAACAAACCACAGTACCACGTGCAGTAATTGCTTTCCTGCTGTCACAGTATCCTACACTCAGTTGTACACCCCCCACCCCCACCCCACAACACTACATGCTCAGTCATACATCCCGGCCTTTCTCGTACTGTTGCCTCTACCCCACAGTTCTCTCTACTGTTGTCCTGTTGGCCGACTTCCTGCTTATTATTCACACCTTGGATCAAGCATGATTTCTTCTGTGAGGCTCTCCCTTGTCCCTGAGCAGAGTTAGATCTGTTTCTTCTGCTCTAAGATCTTTTTAAAAAGCATGTAACACATTCTGTTACATCGTTTGCCTGTTATCCTGTAATTGTTTGCAGTTCTTGTCTCAAGATTGTAAACTCCAGGAGAGCAGGGACCGTAGTGCCTTCCTTGTCTTTCTATCCTAAGCACCTAGTGCAACGCCTGCCACTTTGCACACACTAAAGGCTCATTATAGTGACTAATGTATATGTGTGTGTTTATTAGTTAGGATTCTCTGTGCAGATGATAGAAACCCAAATCAAATTGGCTTAAACAAAGAAAATAATTGATTGCCTCCTGCTACTGGGGTAAACTTGGCTTTAAGGATGGTGGGATCCAGGGGTTCAAATGATGTTATAGGGAATTGTATTTTTCATCTCTTGGTTTGCTTTTCTTTGAGTTGGTTTCTTCATGTGGGGCACCTGGCTGGGGCCTCTTTTCCCAGGGTTGTGAGGAATTCAAGAGGGAGTAGGGTTTGCCCACCTAGTGAACGCAGGCAGAATAGACAAGTAGCAATTCTGCAACTGCAGTTTGGAACGCTAAAAACTAAGCCCACCCCATTTGTATATATTTGTAAGCATGTGATTGGATACTTACTTACGTGTGTAACTGCTTATCAACTTATAGTAAACATATCCAGGCTTATTTTCCTTCCTCCCTCCCTCTCTCCCTTTCTTCTATTTCTTTTATTTTTTTACTTTTTAGTATAGAAAACTTGAAACATACAGAAGTAGAAAGAGTCACGTAAATGAACCTTCATGCGCCAATGACCGGCTATAATGAAGAGCTGTCAACACATAACCAGTATTGTTTCATTTATACTGGATTTTTTGTAATAAGTGTATTACATGGGATTTATTTTATCTGTAATTCATTTTGTATTTAAAAAAATTTTTTAATGTTTATTTTTGACAGAGAGAAACAGAGCGTGAACGGGTGAGGGGCAGAGAGAAAGAGGGACACAGAATCTGAAACAGGCTCCAAGTGGTCAGCACAGAGCTGGACGTGGGGCTCAACTCGGGGACCAGCGAGATCATGACCTGAACTGAAGTCAGACGTTTAACTGACTGAGCCACCCAGGCACCCCTCATTTTGAATTTCTAAGAAATTATTAAAAAAAAACATAACCCCAAATCATTATCATATCTTAAAAAATTAGCA